CCATGGCTACCTGTTTGTGTTTCTCACAGTAGGTTTCTACTAATTGGCATCTCACTTCAAACATAAAGGACAGGCCTGAGAAGGCCTCTCTTCGAATGCCTTCCAGTTTGTTTTGTTTCCGGAGCCCTGAACACCGTCCTTGGAATAGATCCTGGGACTCAAAGGAAACAAACATTGTTTCCGTCTTTTTAGACTAAGGTATTTCAATTAAGAAGAGGAAAGGAGGGTGAGAACATCATAAAACATTTATTGTCTGATACCAGAGGTACCTTCTACAAGTTAAGAGCCCCACTTCAGGAAGTTTGGCATTTGTTAACTGTGGCGCTTACCTTCATATGAGCACAGTTTTGAAAACCCACTGGAATGGCCCAGTGGTGTGGCTCAGTGGTTGAGCGTCGACCCATGCACCAAGAGGTCAGTGGTTCGATTCCCAGGCAGGGTACATAGCCAGGTTGTGGGCCTGATCCCCAGTGGGGGGCATACAGGAGGCGGCCAATCGATGTTCTTTCTCATCGATGTTTCTATCTCTCTCTCCTTCTCTCTTCCTCTCTCTCTAAAATCAATAAAGAAAAAATATTTTTTAAAAAAGGAAAGAAAGCTACAAGAATGTCGGATTTCTTTATCATAAGTAATTGGGTAGATAAGGTCGTATTTACTAGTAATTTCTTCATGCATGCTAAATTTTCATCCACAGTATTAATAGCCTGTTTGAAAATGCCTGCATTATTTAGTAGAGCACTACCATTTCCTATTATATATTTTAGTCAGTCTACTATGGCTTCTCTTGTTAGAAACAACCATGGAATCCTTTTCCCTCCCTCATGTCTGCTTTCCCAGAAATTCACAGAGAAAAAGCCTTTTGTACTTCTCCTGCCAACACACACTCACAGTCCTCCTCTCTCTCAATCCCTCTGTAGCACTGAGCTTCAAGAAGTCTGCAAGGGCAGCACGATTCTGTGTCTGCTTGTCCAATGTGGTAGCCACTACCTACGTGTGGCTATGGAGCTCTTGAATGGGGTTAGTGCATCTGAAGAACTGGAGATGTCCTTTTATTTGTCTTGATTTAATTTAAATTTAAATAGCCTCATGTGGCAAGTGGCTGCCATATTGGACCACGTAGCTTAACTATATCAGCCTGCTTCATCCCTTCATATGATCTCTGACTGAAATGATCTCATTCCTGTATTTTACGTGATTTACCATCTGCCTCTTCATGCCAGAATGTCTTTTATGTCAACGGATGGATAGCCAACACTCAGTGTAGGGGCTGACGTGTAGGAAGTCCTTAATGAAATTCTGTTAAGTTGACTTTAAAATTAATAAATGCACCTTAAGAGCACTTTGCTGTTATTAAACACTAAATATTATTTTCCACTAAAAAAATCCAGGAGTCAAACCCTGGGTACCGGTATAACATTGAATGCTATCAGGTCATCTACTTACATGACTCATTTTATGAGCTTCAGCTCAACACTTTTCATCCATCGTCGTTGATGCTATCTCCTTGGTGTCCCTCTGTCTTTCCATTGATCTGGGATGGGTCTGGAGTCTGCCCCTCCCTGTTCTAGTATGGTTGCATACTTGGCAAATGTGAATTCTGTTCCTTTATTCTACGTAACTTCTCACACTACCCAAGTCTTGCAGAAAGTGGAAATGTAGGAAGAGGTCATCAAGAGGATGTGACTGCGTTTGACCATGAGCTGGACAGAGGCTCCTCACCGCCTCTCCTGTCCTTGGGATGTGTGTTCTGTTCACCGTTCTCAGGAGTGAGCTGTTTCCAAGGATGCACTTGAGAGAGTAACCGTTGTTGAGACTATCTGGATGGTCTGTGTAACTGAACTCAGTTAAGGCCTCTGCAGACACTTTTAACACATTGTGGCCCGGCAATTTTACTCAGAAGTCATCTCATGTCACCGGCGATTTTTTCGTAATTGCTATGAAAGTGGAACCATCTAAATAAACTTCAGTATACTTTATTCCCACATAATGAATTTAAATGAGACTTTGTACATATCTGCTACATATTCTATTTTATACATATTATATATTTTAGTAATTTTTTTGTGCGGTAGACTGTATAGCAATCACCTTTTGAAACACACACTTTACACGTTCTAGTTGGATTTTGTTTTTTATACCAGTGACTATTTTTTCTAAAACGTGGTCTGTTAGTTGCCCTGTTAGCCTAAAAGGTGAATCAATGTGAGGAGCTCTTTTAGAAGGACCAGGAGAAGTGTCAGGTTCTGAGCTGCGCTCATTTGAACCAGCAGATACCCACTCCCTAGCGACTTCAAGAGTATAGAACGGTGCTGTTTTTCGAACTTCGACCCTCAGGGTGAAGAGTCACAAATACAATAATCCAGCATTACCCTGAGTTTCAAACATTGAAATAGCTAATGCAAGTGCAAACACGAGTTAACTCGTGAGCGGTTAACATTAAGATTCCAGTGGGTGGGCACAGAAATCTACTTGTCTGCAGTTGCTCAAGACAAGCCTCATATATCAATCAGTTCCCTTGCTTATTCAACCTGCCACCTATGAATCTGGAGAAGTCTGCCTCTTTCTTCAATCCCTCCGTGCCCTCCATGTATGGGGGCCAGTTTGCAAACAAATGGGAAGCCTAAGATTCAGGTCCAAGATATATTGGCTTTAGATATAGGTTTTTTGGTTAGGTTAAAGTCAGCTTTATTTAGCTATTTTGGGAGGACAAAAGGCTAGACCTTCATTATTGCATGGAATTCCCCCAAGGCTGGGTTTTAATTTTCTTCCTTCAGAAGTATTCTCATAGTAGTTTTAAAAAGCAACATAAAAGTGTAAGAGTGAACTATATTTAAGAGTTTCTTTTTATGCAAATGTTAAATGGCTCTGCCCCTGTAATTTCTTGTTAATTAAAGTACACATGAGTTATTTTGTCTGCCCCAGAAATCAAAGTGTGTGTGTGTGTGTGTGTGTGTGTGTGAGAATTTGCTAGTAATGTTAAAGAAAAAAATGAAAAATGTATCTCTCCACCCAAGCATACCTGCTTTCATTTTTGCTTGCTAAGTTCAGATATCGGTCCATATGTGTATGCTACATATGTGTGAGGTACATGTTGTTTGGTGTATTTTCATACAGTATTCTAAGTAGATTAATAAGGTTTAATAATTATTTTATCTAGTGGCTGTATTCTAGCACGTTGTTACACTAACATTCATTCAATTGATCCCCTTTTACTGGACATTTAGTGGATGCCAGTTTATTTCATTATTAATAATAACACTCCAGTGAATATTTTCATATATGTAGAACAACCTAATTCAAATAGAACAGGAGTGGCATCCAAATGGAACATTGTACATGGCTTCTCCATAGCTTTTGTTAAATGTTTCCATGATGCTTTCCAACAGGATGATACCTACTTGCAATGCCATCACCTGGGGTACAATTGTGGTGATTTGTAACAAAAGTGTTTCTCCTTTATTTTCCTAATTTGGGCTATTTTTTTTTTTTTAATTGACTTTAGAGTGCGAGAGGAAGGAAGAGAGAGAGAAACATTGATGTGAGAGAGAAACATTAGTCTGTATGTGCCCCAGCTGGGGATCAAGCCCACAACCTGGGTAAATGCCCTGGCTAAGAATCGAACCCATCACCTTTTGGTGTACTGGATTATGCTCCAACCAACTGAGCTACATCGGCCAGGGCTGGGCTAGTTTTTATAATGATAACAATAAATGATGAGAGAGAGAGAGAAAGGGAGAGAGAGATTTGTTGTTTGCATTCATTGGTTACTTCTTGTATGTGCCCTGACCGAGAATCAAACTCACAACCTTGGCATATCAAGACAATACTCCAACCAACTGAGCTACCAAGCCAGGGCCTAATAACATTCTTGAGATATATTATGTGACAGGCATTAACTGTGGAGAAACATTGTTTTAGAGAGGTTAAAAATGTAATCTCTGGAGCCTGATTTCACGGGGTCAAATCTAGACTCCACCATATAATCTCCATTTGCTTTTATTCCCTCCTCACAAAAGGGCCACAGGACTACTATGAGGACCAAGGTAAATAATACACTAGAGAGCCTCACCTAGGTAGGCACTGGATAATATTGGTTATTATTTCTAATAGTGAGTGTTTTTAATGTTGTGCTGGGATTCCAGCTGCAGAGACCCTTTTCCAAGGATTCCAACTATAGAGACCCTTTTTCTGTCTAAATACTCACTGCCCTCCCATGCAGGGATCACCACTGATACCCAGGGAGACATGTTACTGTCACTGCCGAGTTCAATCAAGGCTGGATCAGACCCAGAAAATGAGAGCGTGAGGTTACTGAGATTCACTGGAAATATTGTGACCTAATTCCCTGTTTCCAAGACAATAAAGCTAGTGTTTTTACACTATTTTTTTTCCCCCCCATACTTGAGGTCTGAAAGTAGTGCTTTCTGCATTGGAAGTTTTTAATGGAATTATGAAATTCCCCCCTAGATTATAAGGGCCCGGTGGGCAAGACCCAGAAAATGTCTTCTTTGTGCCAGGAAGGCTCTCTAAACACACTTACTGACCTGAATTTCTCCCAAACATTACGATAAACACAGTTATTTCTTAATGCACTCTGTTCATAACTGCTTAGTCAATTATTTGTATTAGCATAACAGTTCTTTTAAGCATAATGATGTTGGAAAAACAGAAACAATGTAAGCACGTTTTCTCAGCTATGGCTGATTATGAGTGGTTTTTTTTTCTTTCTTTCTTTCTTTTTTTTTTGGGACTTCCTTTGCAGATTTGATAAATTAATTGTAAATTTCCCAAGGGGGACCTAACATGAATTGATCTTTGTCTTTTATTCTCTAATGTTTAGGTTTTATTCTAGTCCCAGTGACTGTCCATGGAGACCAAAGCTTGAATATTGCCAAGGGCTCATAAAATTGTTGATGTAACCTACTTTCTCCAGAGAACCTGGTTTCAATGTTCATAATGAATTAATACCACGCTCTCCTCCAATCTCTTTGCTCCCACAGCTATTTGTGGAGACCACCGATGTCAACGGCAGAACTCTTGAGGGGCCGGTCCCTCTGGAAGTCATTGTGATTGATCAGAATGACAACAGACCAAGCTTTCGAGAAGGCCCCTACATTGGCCATGTCATGGAAGGATCCCCTACAGGTATGTTAAGATGGCTTATCATTGGCATGACGGCTTGAGAAGTGGCATGCTCTGATCTTTGGGGATTCTGCAGACTGTTTTATAGCCGCTCCAGCCCGTTGTTGGTGTGTGTCAACACTGACACATTATTTCCCTGGATAGAGCAAGAGCTGGAAAGATGCAACTCAGAACATGACTGGGGTGTTGCAAGCTCTGAAAATACTCCCCTTGTCTCTAAAGGTGGTCTGATCCTTCAAGGATGACCAGCATCTACGTCTCTAATGCGTGGTGACAGTGGGACACCACGTAAATGTCTAGCTCTGAACTCTGCGAAGCAGTGAAGCTGTGAAGAAGAGGACAGTCTCTGCTGCAAATCCTCAGTTATTTATTCCCATGGCAGCATTTTAAGCAGAACCATTCTGGGGAGAGAGGGAAGACTCTTTTTCTCCCCTTTCTTTAGATGTGCGCGGAGAAACCTTTGTCTCCAGTCAAAGGGCCAAAGGCAGTACTCGTACCTACCATTATGGAAATGACTTCAAGTCACGACAGACCTCCTTTGAACTTTTCCCCACCTTTAACCTCCCTGTCAGGGATGGTTTTACCACTTACAGCTCCCTTTTCTGGCTCAGTAGGTACTAATTAAAGCATTCTGCCACCAGCAGCAGAAATCAGTCGCAAGTAGAATACTTGAGACACTGAAGAGCAAAGAAAAATCCCTATTATAAGTCTGGACTTTGATTTTAAGCATTAGAATGCAATTAAGTGAAAAGGCGCCATCTTAAGTGTCTCACTGGGGCTGTGTCTAGAGGAAACCAAAGCAAGTACACAGGTAAGTAAAGGAGTCGTTCAGCGGCCAGACGCAGATGGAAGCTTGAGAGCTGCTTCAGCTGGTTCTTTCCCCTCTTTGGCTGAATTGATGGATGTATCAAGAACATGTAGATGCATGAGGTGCTGCAAGTGTTGTCATGGTAACCTGTCTAGACTACCAGGTGAATAATCGTTTGTAAGATGCCTAAAACCTTCCTTCAACTTCAAGGAGCTGGGTCTCTGGGCACTTCATCAGATACCCAGGGGCAAGAGTGACCCTCTCTCCTCTGGAGTTTGAATGCATTCTGTAAAAAGGAGAGAGAATTCCCTGTGTGAGCTGGAGGGCATTTGGGGGAGAGGGTGGGGCAGAGGAGGTGGGTCAGATCACTTCGGGGCAGAACTTCCTGTGGCACCTCTCTCAGCAGGCTGCTTGTGATGAAGAGATGGCTTTCGGTGAGAGAGGCTCTGGAATGTGGGTTTGATGTTTACAGAAATCTTAAACAAGCTGATGCTCAGAACAAGTTAGGAGAACCGATGGGAAAAGCTATTAAAGAGAGCAGAGCCTGAGCAGAGCAGAAAAATGATTCTCCGTTTCCATCTGTGGTACGCGAGCATTGTATATGAGTGACTGGAATCCAAGATGGGCCGGGAAAGTGTTCTAAATGTAAATGACAACTGTGACGTGAGAGGCGGCTGTGGGCACGTGCGCGTCTTTGTATATTGTATGTGTATACGATTCAATGATGTTCAATTTACCTCCCACTGTGCCCTTCCTTAAAGTTTCAGAAAGAATTTCAAATTTTAATGTTTTATATACATGTCATACTTTCAAAGAAAATGGAATCCTTTATGCATATTGAATTTCTTAAAGCACAAAGCAATTTGGCTAGGGTAGATGCATCTCAGGGAAAACATAAACCATCTCAAACTTCTATTTGTAATTGGAAATATCTTATAAAAATACATAAATCCTTGGATATCAGTGTGGAGTAGGTTCTACCAGCGATGTGGCATTTGGCCTGAATTGTTTTCTTTCTCTGCACCCTCTGGGTTTGACTGCAAAGCAGAAATTGGGATGGAGTCAGTCGAACTTTGGTTGAGAATGTGGAAATGTCGTGGAAAACTTTTAGAGGACAAAATCACTTAGATTACTGAGCGCCTGTAGGAGATCTCAGGCAAGGGGGCCCCCAAAGCTTCCATGAGGACCGCGGTCGTCTGGGAAGGACGACAGTGTCCCTCTCTAAACCCCCTCCCCAACCTCCACCATTTATAAGTTATAACAACAAACACAGACTCGCTGTAGAAATGATCGCCTCTCCTAGTTTCCCAGTCCGCACTCATCTGTGGCTCACGGAATCCTGTGTGCGGAAGGCATGGTTCTGGATCCACTTTTCCAGAAGAGAATGCGGACCCTGGAACAAATCCCGTGACCCTGCCCGGTGGACACAATGACACATGGGAGGCAGTGCTCAAGGCTCAGCCTGTGTTATCCACCTTCACGTCACGTGCTCTTTCAGTTGTCCCCAGATCTTTACGGTGAAAACAGCCATTCAACCGTGAGGAGCACTCACTGCACTGAGACCTTTATAGACAGGGTAGCACTCCCTCATGATACAGATCCTGCTCCGAGAGGCGGTCCCCCTCTCCCCTCCTCCATATAAGAAAACTGAATCTCAGAGACGTCCGGAAACTTCCCCCAAATCACCAGCTGGCAATGAGCTAGAATCTGTGTTCATGTCTCTGGCTTCCAGACACGGGCTCTCTCCCATGTACCATGTTGAAGTTGGGGTCGGCCACCTTCTTTCACATTCTTTACGATGGACCCTTTGCAGGCCCAGCCGGGGGGAAATATCTGTGACGTTCTAGCAGATGCACTGATTTAGCTTCTGATGGAGAGCGACCAGCTCTCTGACCAAATACCCAGGCTCAGGGAGTCACTTTCAGCGTGTGTGAGTGGTTGTGTGGTCTCCAGCGTTAAACAGCACTACACACAGGGCCCTTGTCCTCACTTACATCACTGTCTTCCAAATCCACATAACCAGGGCTGTGGTCTGACAGCCTTAAGAGCCCCTCTCCCAGAGGGGCCCAGGCTTGGTACATCCTCTGCCATCACCGTCTTAAAATTGTACTGATTGCTGAGCAAGGGGTCCTGCATTCTCATTCTTCACTGAGCCCCGCAGATGACGGAGCAGGTCCTGTGCCCCGCATTGCGGCCGAGAGCTGGCTTTAATGCTCCACTCACCTCCTTAACAAGGCGAGACCTCGGGAAGGTTACTGAACCTTCTAGAAGCCTCCGTTGCCTTGTCTAGAGATAGAATGGGTGTATAACGGTATCCACCCTAGAGAACTCTATGCAAGAATTAAATGAGAGAATCTGTTCAGAACATAATAAATGTGCAGGAAACGCCAGTGTGTCATTAATGCTGCAATTATTATTCGGGCAGCGAACCCCTTGGGAAGGGAAGGCAAAGGAACATGCAGTTTGTGTGAAGGAACATTCATCTCCCAACAAACCAAGGATCATTTTCATGTTCCAGTGTACCCGCATGCCGTCTGCACCAATCCATCACCGAGGAGGGTCACCTGTACTTATCCGTCTGTGCAGACAGGAGACCGTTTCCAGCTGCTCAGCACTAAACTCCAGGGTAGTGTTTGGGGGAATCATTACTAGGTGAAGGGAGATCCGCGGACAGGAATGGTCTTTGAACTCTGCACGTTATGAGCTGTTGCTTTGGTGGAGTCGTAGGCACTGATTTATGGGACCTGAGCCCGGGCCCTGGCTGCTCCGTGGGGCCAGCCAGAGCTCTGAGTGAGGCTGTTGTGCTCTGAATGCTTGAAGCATGCCAAGACCTCAGTTAGGGGTAGAGGGGCGGGAAACAAAGTTCCTGAGGGCACGCGTGCCAGGGCCCCACAGTGCTGGCTGGCGCCCACTTCCCAGGGTTTGCCACTGAGTCGTCTGGACACTTTGAGCAGGCGGACATGAGGACTGGTGTGCAGGGCTTCCTCAGGAGCAGACCCAGGTATGAGGATCGAGGGCACATGGTTCGCCTAAAAGGTGCAAGGTGCCAGCTGAGGAATGCTACAAGAAAGGGAAGCCAGCCAATTCAAGATGCCACGTTAAGTCAGCTACCATAGTGGGCAACTGTGAGCTTGACCCCTGGATGGGGGCAAGGGGCTCTAGGAAATGACATAAAACACAGCCTCCAGGGAGCTGGGATTCCATCCCCATGCCCACCAGAGGGACCTGAATTCCTGGGCACTTTCAACCAGCTGTGGACACGGCCACCTAGGTTCCAGAAGCTCAGGGACAGTGTGCCAACAAGGTGCAGGAGTTGGCTGTTGGGTGGGCCTCAGCTGTGCTCCTCCCTTCATGCTTCTGGCCACCCTGAATGTCAGCAGGGGCGGCTGGGAGAAGGGCACCCAGCCCCTGGACAAGTGGGGTGGCTTTGAGGGATGTCAGGGACAGGAGGCAGCGGGAGGAAGTGTTAGTGCCCACAGTGCACATCTGAGAAAGAGGCATGTGATGTTGACCTCTCTCTCTCTCTCTCTCTCTCTCTCTCTCTCTCTCTCTCTCTCTCTTTGGTATGTGTCCCTAGTGGGAACCGAACCTGGGACTCTCTGGTCCTCAGGTCAACGCTCCAACCGCTGAGCCAAACTGGCCAGAGCGACCTCTCTCTTTAAATACGGTTCAGGACCTAGAGGTGCATGCATGACTCCTACTGCTGAGATGCTGACACTTCTCAAGGTACCCACGCAGGATGCCTGATCCCAGGAGGGACCAAAGCTAGGTTCTCTGACAAGGTGCTGTGAGGAAGTAGGGGGGTCGCTTTATTTTTCCCTTGGGGTCTACCTGAGTCTCCATTCTTCAAGACTCAGTTGCTTTAATTTTTAAACAGGTCCTACCATGCCAGACATGTGGAAGAACTGTGCTCAAGTGGGCTTTGGAACATATGGCTGTCCCGAGAGCTCAGCTTTGCTTAGCTGTGGCTATTTTCCAAAACAGCTCAGTCCAAACAACAATGGTTGTGACATTGGATGGTTGATATTTGAGACCTAGCTCAGTATAAATGCTTGTTTGGTTGGTATGACCTGGAAGTAATTTACCTTTTCTGGTCACCTGTTTACTTGTGGCAGTATCGGCCATGTGGCTTTTTGGTCCACCAACTGTCCAGTTTTTCTTCATTGTTGTTTTTGGACGTTCATGCTGTAATTTC